ATAAATCATTAGAAATTTTATAAATGATAGCCTAAATATGGTAAATAAAAAATATAGACTGCTTATTTTTAAGACTATTTTACTAATATAGTTTTTTTCTTAAATAATTTAAATTAGATTAAAGCAAAATTAACACTTATATATTATTTAACAGTTTTATTTACTAAATATTTCTTTCCTTTTCCATAATCACAATACCCGCCTTTTTTTGACAGTAATAATAATAATAATAATAAACAAAAAAAAATCAAATTATTAACTTTCAACATTTTTCCCTAAATATAAAATCTCCAACAAATACAAGTTAAATTTGAATTTCTATCAGGAGTTATCTTTGCAAATTTATATTATTCTTTTCTAATACTTAATTAATCTCCTCCATTAATTGGGTATTACGGTCATATTTTAAAGTTCATATGAAAACTATTGCTTATGTATTGAACAGTATCTTAAGGGTAATAAAAATGCTTAACGAATATTTTAAAGTGAGTTAAAATACTTGAGATTAATCTTAGTTTATATCTATTATAAGTTATCTTATTGAACTAATTCAAGATTAAAACGTTTTATTAGTAACTTTTAAATTCATAATTATTAAAAAATTGAAGTTAATCTCTATACAAAACAATCGGATGTTATTTTAGCTAGTTAAACCAATGTTTGATAGATTAATAAAAATTTATTTTTCTATTTTTAAATTGTCTTAATTTAAAAGTTTATTATTGGTTGAATATAAGATTAATAAAGTTTAACATAAAGTGTCCATAATAAAAATTAATTACCTATTTAATAATTATTAGAGATTTTTAAAACTCATATTTAAGGTATTTCATTCTTTTTTAAATTTATTCTAAGGGAACTTTAATTGATCCTTTACCATCTATAGTTACTCGTAAAAGATTAAATTAGTTTGTATTTATAGGTGGTAAGTTAGGTAATTTTTTTGGACTAAATTTAGCTTGAAATTATATCATTCTTAATTACTCAATAACATTATTTCTTACTAAGTTTAAATTGGTTATAAGCTCATTATTTTTAAAGTAGCAATTCTTGATCCCTCCTTATGAACAATAATTAATTTTTTAATTAAGAAATGGGATAATTTAAAAGACAAAAGAACTTTTACTTTTATATTTTATCAATTCTAAACCTAATATTTTCCTTTTATTAAATTAAAATAAATGATAATTATTTTATATGTGTGTATGAACTCTGCTAAAGAAGAAGCTATTTTGCTTTTTAAATCCAATAATAGAACATTTTTTAATAATGCTGAATTAATATAAATGGCTTTTATGTCTTTTAATAATTTCAATTTTTAAAGTATTCAAGGAATGATCAGATTCCTAATAGAATTTACTAAAACAAATAGACTATATTTGTTTATCTATTTACAAGTTAATTTATATTTTCAGTTTGATAATACTAAAATTGATTAATATAAAGGTTATTATTATTATGTTAAACTTAATGGGATTATCAGTAACATTATCACTTATGATTACTCCCATTTTGTAAGCTCAATTTTGTAATTTGTTTTTGGTTATTTGATGTCTAACTTCACTCTTATTCTTATTAATATTATTATCTTATTAAACTACTACATTATTTTAATGATGCGCTTTCTCTTTTACCTTTTAATTTTTATTTTACCTAATAAGGTTATTTTGTTTAATAATTATGTATATTCTCACTGGTTTATTTTAAGTAAATACAAATTACTTATTTTAAATGAATGATTTTTCTGAGTTAGATAAAGTGTTACTTAAAATTTCTTTCTATAAATGTATATCTACTTATTTTTTAAGTTATATATTTCTAATTTAGTTTAGGCTGCTACTTAATGTTAGTAGTCGTATTATTTATATTTTTTCCTATTACCATGTTGTATCAAAATATTTCTATTACTCATTTTTTCATGGATATTAAATACACATTTTTATTAATCCTATATTTATGATTATTTATATTAGGAAGGGCCAAATCTTTTTTAATTAAATATTTAATTCATATTATTTTTTTTTATTTCTTATCTAATGGTTTCTCTTTTGAGATTAATTCAACTTTAATCGTAGATCTTATCTGGTAATTTATGATTTAGTTTTTTAGTATTATTTTAATTATTAGTTCTGTTTTTGGGTTTCTGAAATTAGAAAAAAATAATCTAATTCAGAGTTTGCCGTATTTTAAGCCAATTTGTAAAATATGGGAGGATTATTTCTGAGAAATTATCCATCAACAGATTATTTGTAATTCATAAATAATACTAATAATAATATTTTTATAATTATTATTTCTGTTATTGTTTCGTAATTTTGGTCTAAAAAGTAAAACTTCTTTTATACTATTGATTAAGAGTATGTTAAATAGATAAAATGCTTTTAACTTTCAACACAGAATTGTTGATTTTTTACTATTAATGGTGAGTATGAAAATAGGATTTTACAATTGATTTTGAATATTAGAATGATTAATTATAATTGATTATGATTAATGATAAAGTGATATTATAATTCATCATAGACAAATACAAAGAACCATAAATTTATACATCTCTTTCCAAAAGAATAGTTTGTAAATTATAATAACTTATGATTATATATATTTTTGGTTATAGATAAATAAATTAAAAATATAGATCAATTTTTATATTTTCTTTAATATTGTGCCAATTCTAAATGAATCTTTTAATAAACTATTACTTACAATGGAATGAGCCTTATTAAGAATCTTGACAGTTTATATCTTTCTAATTATTTTCTTATAATAAGGATTTGAATTATTAATATATTCAACAAGACTAAAATGGCAGTTGATAAGATTATACTTTTAATTTTTTAAATAATCTCATCTAAAATTGTTAAAGATGTATTAACAAAATATTAAGAAAATTATGCAATTTGATATTATATTGCATCCAATCCCCATAAAACATAGATCAAATAATCATTTTCTTACATAATATTTCTGATTGCAATTAATTTCTATTCATAGGTATCAAGATCTTTAAATATCAAATGGAATTGCACAAAGAGTGAAGAAACAATCTAATGAAGTTTAATAATGCCTTAAAAGAAATATACGTTTAAATTTTCTTAAAACAACCTTTCCTAAAATAAATCATTCTTCATATCACAATTTGTTAATAAACAAGTAT